CCTACACCCACACGTCCCTCTCTGCTTGCCCTCTGATTTCTCTCTCTCCCTCTTCACTCCCCCAGTTTTTCCTCTCCCAGAAGTGTTGACAGCTCCAAACAAAACAGGGCCTGTGAGCTGACAGACACATTCTGCCTCTGAAAGGAGAGCATTTAACACGCCTCACACCCTGCACTGCCCACCACACACACACACACACACACACACACACTTAGCCAGTAGAAACAAAACTTAGGACCATGTGATATTTCAGTTTTTCTTTTTTAATAAATCTGCAAAAATGTCAACGATTCTGTGTTTTTCTGTCAATATGGGGTGCTGTGTGTACATTAATGAGGAAAAAAAATTAACTTAAATGATTTTAGCAAATGGCTGCAATATAACAAAGAGTGAAAAATTTAAGGAGGTCTGAATACTTTCCGTACCCACTGTATATTGTAAGCAGTGAATTCAATGAAATTTATTTTTGAAATTGAAAATATATTTAGCTTCAACCTTCATAAACCAAAATATGTTCACAATGTTTTTTCAGAGATATACAAAAAATGGCCATATATGTATGTAAATATAAATATTTACATATAAATGTAAATATACTTTTTTTTTTTTGACTTATCGGGAGTCCTCTAAAGACATTCAATAACTTACAATACAATAAAACTGGTGTATATTCATATCTGGCACATCATGTTTAGTTACGAGTCACACAAGAAGCATTATGTACAATGACCTTTTCAAATGATGACATAACAGCTTGTCAATATCAGCTTAAAATGTGTTATTTTCCTCATACAAAGCTATCATATTGCTTCAGAAGACTTGAAAGTTATATGGAAAACTTTTATGACTTTTGTTTTTTGAGTTTGACAGCCCCAGGTCATCATTCACTTTCATTATATGCAAATTATATGTGTCAACATTGTCGATACAGGTTTGGAACAACATTTTACATGCAGAATTATTAGTGTTTGAGTGTAATATCCCTTTAAGTTTGCCGTATACCATTTCTTTTTTACAAAACTCTTTCATGCTACTATAGTTTGTATATAATTCACTCTTCTAGCTGAACTCTGTATGAGTTATTCTACTATGGGCTGAGTATTCAATAACTAATTTCAGCTTTGTGGAATAGTTGTGAGTGGCCTGCCAGTGACCCTTTGCTCTTGAGGTGAGGTCAGGCTCTCCTGTAGGCCTCCCAGCTGTCTCTCTCCCTACACCCACACGTCCCTCTCTGCTTGCCCTCTGATTTCTCTCTCTCCCTCTTCACTCCCCCAGTTTTTCCTCTCCCAGAAGTGTTGACAGCTCCAAACAAAACAGGGCCTGTGAGCTGACAGACACATTCTGCCTCTGAAAGGAGAGCATTTAACACGCCTCACACCCTGCACTGCCCACCACACACACACACACACACACACACTTAGCCAGTCGAAACAAAACGCCACCACAGAGAAAAGAGAGGATCGGCCAGAGTTTGGGGGGGATTTGCACCTTGAAGAAGAGAAAAGAGTTGAGAAAGGGAGGAAAAATATTTTTTTCAGGTTCAAAGGCGGTCTATTCTCCCGCCTGCACCCTGTCACTCATCCTGAGCGGGTTAGCCTGGAGGATAGCGCTCCTTTTTCATTGGTGTCATACATCCATCTGTCAGGTTGATGTGCACTCCAATGGGTTTGGTGGAGAGCTGCGGAAACTTCCTGTCAGGGCCTGCCGTGAGATCAACACCTGTTGGAGTGAGACAGAGGGGTCACTGAGTCCCCACTGGAGTGTCGCTTTCCAGCCCGCACACTGAAATCACACATACACAAACACACACTCGAGAAACACAAACAAATAATACTATCTGATTCCTCAAAACTCGAAAATGTTTCTAAAATGCTAGCTTAGTCTGATGGCCACTGGCGTTAAAAGCCAAAAATATAAATATACAAAAGTATAAAACCTCAGTTACTGTATGTTAGGCTTTTTGATATATGCAGATTTGGCATTGTGCAGTCTAAAAAACAAACAAACAAAAAAAAAACGCTTTTTAATCTATACTATTTAATACTATACTATTTTTAAAAAATGTTTATTTTATATGGGTTTGATCCAAAAATTAAATGGAAAAAAATAATAATATTGATATTGACATTGCACATGACATTGATAACATTACACATAACATTGATAAAAAACAATATTACACATACATATATATATATATATATATATTAACATCCAATAAATAGTTTTGAAATATTCAAATGAGTAAATTGTTTGGCTTTCAAATGAGTGTTTGGCTTATAATGGCGTTTCATAATATATATATATATATATATGAAACACCAATATATTATCTTGGTCATCATCAACATTATATTGGTCTATAACTAGTATTAACGATTTAAAGATTGGTCAAGCTTTCAAAAACAATATTATTGTGCAAAAATGCATTCTTTTTTTGTAAAATATTGTCGTTTTAATTTTTTTTAAATCAGACTTTAAAGTATGTACTTCACGATGATACAGAATACTGCTCTTTACTCATGACTTTGTTTTCACCACAGATTATCACAGCGAGCCCTTACTTAAACGTAAACTCTCATGCCTCAGTGTTTTTCCCGGTTGAATGCAGCCAGCAATCCTAGCCATATACGTTGTCATGAAGCTGGATGCCAGAGGTGCCGTGATGCTAAATGAACTGACCACAGTCCTGCTATCAGGTACATTCTCATGGAGACCATTAGTGCTGCTGTCCCCTGAGGCAGGCCTTTGAATAATGCATGTGAGTGCTCAGGCTCTCAGTGGCCTGAGGCATATCCCCCGCTCTTGTTACCTCTCATGGCATATCCTGTCAGAGTCACAGGTCAACATGCCGCCTGCTGGACTGTGTTACACGTGGCTCAAACCACCACAGCCAGATTCTGGTTTCAAAAGCAGAGCAGAGCGACAAAAGTAATCACAGGATTTTAAAGAGTTCTTGGAGAAAACGTAATAGGTGCCAGTGGACAATGGCTGTACTTTTTTTCTCCCAAATCTTATTCTGTTCAGCATTACCTGAAAGATGTAAGGATCTGAGTTGCTTAGGAGAGAGATCTGAGAGTTGACTGAGGGTCTGGCCTGTGTCAGGACAGCAGTATCCAGGTTCCAGAGAGCCACGGATCTGCTCTGTATATATATCTTGTGTTAGCAAAGCTGAATTTTAAGCATTATTATTCCAGTCTTCAGTGTCACATGATCCTTCAGAAATCATTATAATATGCTGAATTGGAGCTCAGGAAACATTTCTTATTATTTGCAATGTTGAAAACAGTTATATTTTTGTGGAAATTGTGATAGATTTTTCTTCAGGATTCTTTGATGAATAGAAAGTTCAAAAGAAGCATTTATTTGAAATATAAATCTTTTTTAACATTATATATGTCTACTATTATTTTTGAACAAATTTAATGCATCCTTGCTGAGTAAAAGTATTACACTGTCTCTTTATTACATTGCCAACCAAATTTTACATTGGACAATACAGTGCCAAAATTGTCTATAATGCAAAGTCAACAGTAATACTTTTAACATCAAAAATGTATAATAATACAAGTAATAAATAAATAACTATTAACATAACATGAACTGAATTAGAAAAACTGATTTTGTAAATGCACAAATAACTTTATTGTGAGTATTTGGTTGAATTTTGATAATTTCATGGCCATCAATAACATTCACATCATGAAACATTGTGGTTTGTGGTTCTGATTGCAAGTGAACCCGTATCTTACCTTGAACAGTTTTGTTCATGGTTTTCAAAAATTAAGTCATGTTATGCAAACTGTCCATGTTGACATCTGCTTGCTTTAGAAAGCTCCTACCAAGTGACAGATAAATTTGGGCCGAAATACAGAGGTTGACTGGACACATGACATACACAAGAAAACATATGGGAGGCGTTAATTTGACACAATTCCAATTAATTGTTTGTGTTTACCATTGTTTCTTAGCCTTTTGCTTTCCTGATCTCTGGTAAGAAATGAACTTAATAAACTGTAACCAACACCTAAATCTTTTCATTTTAGATATAGAAACACACACACGCAGTGTTCAGTCTTAATTAGAGTGAATGAAAGGATTGTGTGTGGGCTGGAGGAGGGAAATGAGTGTAGAGCACTGCTGAAAGTGATCCCTGTCACACACAGGATGTCTGCTCACTTTCTCCTAAACATGTTATATGTCTCACACACACACGACAGGTTAAGGAACGAAGGATCAAGAGAGAGAGACATCAAAATAAAGAGAGTGAGGCAGCTGCCTCCAGGTCTGTTGTTGCGTGCAAAGCGGACTGGAATTCCCCATTCATGTATGTAAAGGCACCCGCAGTCCCTGTAATGACTCGCAATGACCATGAAGCCTTTATAAGACTTCACTATATTAACAATCTCTCATTGTTGCCATTCTGCACACATCCATGCAAGCCAAGGAGGCATTTCTACTCTCGGTGGTCAGAACAACTCTCATTCTCGCAAACATATACATACATACATACATACATATGGAGAGAATATTAAAGGGATAATTATTTACTCACCCTCATGCCATTCCAAATCTGTATGACTTTCTTCTGTGGGGTCCAATGTGGTTTGGACTGAAATATTCTTCAAAGTATCTTCTTTTGTGCTGCGAAGAAGAATCATTAGGATTATATCCTTAGAAGTTTCTGATCTGAATCAGCTCAGGGATATTTCACCCAAAAATGAAAATCATTTACTCACCCTCATACACTTTTTCTTCCGCTGGACACAAAAGATGATATTTTGAAGAATGCGGGCAATCAAACAGTTTCAGTTCCTATTGACTGCCACTGTTTGTTTGTTTTTTTTTGTTTTTTTGCCCATGCAATAGAAGTCAATGGGAACCCGAAACTGTTCAGTTACCAACATTCTTCAAAATATCTTCTTTTATGTTTCTCAAAAGAAAGAAAATCTAACAGGTTTGGAATGACACGAATGTGAGTAAATGACAGAATTGTGGGTGTACTATCCCTTTAATCAAACTACTAAAACGTAATACATTCACAAACGTTTTGGCACTGTTTTAGCACTTAGTACAAGACTGTGAAATGGAGCAAGAGGGAGAATATTATTCCAGGGTGTTTTGGCACCAGAGGACAGCTCTATGAAAGGTTACCCAGGTGGTCTTTCCTCAACTCCTCCGTCTCTCCCCCAGCAAAATGTCAGTTTCAATTCCCTGGCTCAATTCCCCAGTCCCTTACCCAAATCATCACGTGAACCTCAGATTGCTTAAATATGGGCCTGTGAATCTGATACTCTGTTGGGTTTTGAGTCTTGATGGAGGTGCTGAGAGCCGGCTGATGAGGGGGCCCAGCCGTCCGCCATATTGCCGCCCAGTATGCCGTGTCATGTTCTCTGAACAATCGCCCGTGTCCTTCTAGTTGGGTAAACAACAGAGGCTGTCAGCCGGTGTCAGGTTTGGGCTTTTCAAAGCAAAAGAATGAGAATGACAGATGACTGCTCTGAGTGTAGCCGACACTTTGCTGATAATGGTGATCTGAGTGCTGATACGGAGAGGCAGAGTGCGATGGGTGAGTGAGATATACCCGGGAAAACAAGCTAAACCCACAGTTTTGACAAACACACTGCTGGGAAAGACTGTGAGGCGCTTTCAGTGAGATTCCCCGGCTCACTTGATTCTCTGATTCATCCGTGGTGGAATTTGACGTGTTGGGGTTGAATCACATCCACAATAGTGAGTTCGCAATAAAAAGAACTGAATTCAAGGCTCTTTCAACCGCAAAAAAAATTAAATAAATATATGATAGAAGTAACTGGATAGAATGGATATAAGCCAAAGTAGGTGTGAGCCAACAGTAATAATAATATCTTAAAATAATAAAAATGAAAGATGCTTTATTCCGGTGTTAAGATTATTTTAGGTAATTTTAAGGTGGTTCACAGTGTTGATTTACAAAATCTTTTTTTTTTTTATTAAAAAAAAATCTGAATTCACTTTTAAAAACTGTAAATATTTGTTCCCCTGTTTGTCAATCAGGTTCAAATTTCAGGATGAAGTTGTAGAAATTACAGATAGTTAATACTTTTTGGGTATTCATTTTTTTTAGGCAGGGGGAGGAGTAATTATTTTGTGAATAGGAGGGAGTCTATAATAAGTAATAACAAAAATAATATTCGTTTACAAAATAAAATAAAAAATCTTTATTGCTGTGTTAAGAAAAATAAATATTTTAGTAATTTAATTTACAGGTGGTTCACATAGATTTACAATATATTAAAAAAAAAATAAAAAATACTGTTAATTAACCTTTAAAAAGCACAAATACTTGTTCTTCTATTTGTCCATCAGGTTCAAATTTCAGGAATAAATTGTAGAAATTACAGAGAAAACTTTTTGGTGGGAATTAGGTTTTGGGGGAAAAAAAAAAAAAAAAAAAAGAAATTTATATTGTGCCAAAGAGGTGAATCAATAATAAGTAATATTATCAATAATAAATAATAATATTTGTTCAAATAAGGTGAAATATGCTTTATTCCAGTGTTGCCAAAGAGGTGAATCAATAATAAGTAATATTATCAATAATAAATAATAATATTTGTTCAAATAAGGTGAAATATGCTTTATTCCAGTGTTAAGAAAGAGAAATAATTGAACTTTTTTTAATAATTACATTTAATAGATTTCTTTTTTAACATTTATTTTAGTAAAAATAATAATAATTAAAAAAAAACTTAATTTACAATGTCAGGACTAAACTATAAAAATTACAGAGAATATTCTGGTGGGGAAACAAAAAGCCAATGATAGAAAATCTGGTCAGTGTCAGCTCGGAGATGCACCGATGAAGTGATCGTATTTAATGTCAGCCGTTCAGATTCCTTGGTGTAAATCAGCTGACCCTTTCACAAACTGCTCAATGAATTAAGTTCCACAGAACATTTTCATTAAATTGAACTCAAACTAATCTGTTCAGGGTTCATGGGGTTGACAAGCCACAAAAAAACAACATGTCTGACACGGCCGGCACGAGCGTACCTGTAACCTGAGCCAAGGGATGGTGGTGTGCCAAAACTCGGCAACCCTCACGCTGAGAAAGAGTCCAGTTAGACCGGATCCCCAACCCACACATCAGCTCTCCTCACCCCTCGAGTGCTGGCTGGGCCTGCACAGTGGGGTCCCTCCATCTGGACACATTTCTACCCTGACAGGAGACATGGCTGCATTAAAGAACATATTCACATACGGCCCACTCAGGACTGTCACTGCTGGAGATGGAGAGCAGACTGGAGGACCGGACTGTGCGGAGAGAGAGAGAGAGAGAAATCTGGGATTTTGCTTGAGCACTACAGAACTCAGGGGTCACTTGAGCACTACAGAACTCTCATTCTATAGTCCATCTGTCAACCATTATGGACCCGGGCCCTCAACTGAATAACTGAGCTCCTCCTACACATGGAATGTACAGAGAGGATAGTTTTTGTTCAAAATAAAGAAAAATCTGCACATTATATGCAGAAGAAATTACCAAAGATGTATTCTGAATGAATAAATCATACTAATGTTTATATGACAATGAGCATTTTTAATATATATCATATCATTAGAGTTATAGGCTACATGTTAGTCTGATTGACACCAAATTAAAAATGTAACATAGCATGGTTTACATAACACACAGTATATGATAAAATGCATTTAAGTGCAGTGCAGAATTTTAATAATAAAAAAAAAAAAACAGTTAGGCTTAAAAAACCAACTGTGCAACAGAAAAACTTGTTTTTGAACAGCAGTCGGGTATAAATTGCACAGAATGTCAAAAGGAGTTATTAAGTTAAAGAAGTCATGAAGTAAACTTAGCAAAAGTTAAATGTGCTTTAACAAATGTAATAAAACATTTTACAAGTTATCTCGTAGAAATTAAACTTTATGAGGAACAAAACTAACGCAAATGGCGACGACGAAAGAGTTATGATTGGATTATAGCGACCTCTTGAGGCAACACTATAGAAGATAGAAGAGGCAGGAGCAGGTTTAACAAGTTTACAAAGTTCGGATTTCTGTCTTCATTTTGTCATTTTGATAGATTAAATATTAAGCAAGTAAATGAAGGTAAAATATACAAAAATGTTATAAGGAGACATTTTAGTTTGTGATACTCCAAATATTTCTTAATTTTTTTTTTTTATCTATAATGCAATTGGATGAACAACTAAACCAATCCGATTCAAACGCCTCTCTGATTGGAAGGTGGAATACTGTCAATCAATTCCAAAATGGGAGGAGCTTAGGTCCTACATCGAAACCAATGGTCAGTTACATTAAAGTGTCCTAAAGGGAAGAGCTCCGTATTATTCCCACTGTACACCTGCTTAACTACCCTATGCAAGCGAGGTTTAGATGCATTCTTCGATGAATATTACCATAATTACTAAATGTATTATTTTTAATGCATTTTGTATAAAAGCATATTTAGTCATTTAACGCAATAAAAGGCCGTAAATATTTCTGTGATATAATTTTTATTAAATAATAAAATAAAATCGTAAAAAAATAACAAAATCAAACAAATACAAACAAAATAAAAACAAATCAACATAAATAAACAAATAAATAAATGATAGAACTAGAATCCTACTACTTGTTTCACTTCTGTTTCAGTTTTTTATAACCATTTCTTACTATGTGTCAGTAAGTTGTTGTTATTTTAGCATGTGTGTTTGGCTCAGTGTTATTTTTGTAGGATTACTGAAACTAATGTAGTTTGATTTGTATTAGTTATCTATTTTAGTGTTAGTTACAGTTGTAGTAATGTTGTCATTTTATTCGTTTTTTTTATTATGTCTATATGGGTTTTTTATTAAGTTTTAGTTTTATTTCATTTGAGTTATTTCAGTACTTCAACATACAAAATGGAAATGAAATATATATATATATATATATATATATATA